TGAGAGCCTTCTTTATGGGTTTTTGCTTATCCTGTATTGTTCTGCACGTAGCAATATCATGCTGAGAATCACAGGGAGAAATGCTAATTCAGTGTTTTTATATGGGGGAAACAGCATGCTAAGTGCATTCCTTAAGTCAATCCAGAAACCACCTCCTGCAAAAATTCATGAAAGGCACATGTAATGCCTTGTCAGGCTTGACTCTTTTATCTGGGATAGTTAAAATATTTTCACTAGGGGAAGAAAGGTTGCTAGGTAGTTGGTTTGTTTGCCTGTTTCTGGATAAAGATCTTCTGAAGGTGGAAAAACACCCGTCTTCCATCTGACAGGCAGAAAGGTGCTCTCCAGTGCAGTCCCTGGGTATGGTTTGGGCTGTGATTTCCTAGGGCAGCCATTGTGGAGCTAATGACGAAATATACATAACCACAATTTTTTTCATGCTTAGTGATTATGGTAAGCCTTCTTACAAGCAACCAGCATGGCATACCAGGAGAGTAAGGCAGAGAAAAATCTTCCTTATCATCTCAAATACAATAAAAAGAAATTGAGGAATGGAAAGAATAAACAATTTGACTGAAAGAGCCTCAAAACTCCAAATCACTCCCATCAGTTCTCCAAAGTACAGTGTTTCAAACATTCATGGCTCAATTTACCACCTATTTGATGGGGGAGTGTTTACGACACATTCTCTGCATTCCTTTACCAGAAGTGCTGTAAAATTGGACTTTTTCCCCCTGTATGTGATGCAGAGAATGACTTGCATCTGGAAAATTTACCTTACAGCTCAGCACTGAGCTCTTCTTACAGCAACTTACCTAAAGGGAAAATCAGATGTGACCCTGTACATTTGCTGCCCTCCAAGCGTGGGTGTGCAAATGTACCTTAGTATACTTAGGGTTAATTTGCATCATGGTAATAGCAGAAATGGAGAGATATGGGCTTATGTAGAGAATCTATAGGCTTTAATGGGAGACAACTGGTTAAATCAACATTATGTCATGCTGAAGGGCATGTTTCCCATGGTCACAGTTATCTATACTCTGTGTGGCAAGAGTGGGAAGGAGAAACTTGATGCTACAGTTGGTTAGGTTATCTGGAGGCATGGAGAAGGTTGGAAATGCGGTGGTCAGACAAGGCAAAAGCACTAAACACAAAGCGTTTGTTACCTGTGCTCTAAGGGCATCCAGGGAAAGGTCGCAGAAAAGCGTGGTTAGTGGCAGTCCTTGAACTACTAGCTGGAAAGATCTCAGAGGACGTTGTAGGAGGGAATGGTGCTGCTTCTAGCTTCACAGGGCACTTGGAAAATGTCACTGGACATCCCTGCACTCCTGGCTCTGCAAATCTGCCACCAGGTCAGCCACTTGCATGTCACCAAGCTTTGGCTGTAGAGGTGTCCTCAGCTGAGCAGAAGACCCAGCCAGTACAGCGACTGCAAGCTGAAGTTAGAATATGGGTATTAGATTAATGCTTTCTAAAGATGAGAGGATTTTAACCATTGGAATAGATGTCCAAAGGATCTTGTGCATTTTTTCTCAGCTTTGTCTCGAGCTTATATCCATCATGCAGTGGCAGACTCCTCCTCAGCCCTGGGTTATTGGACTTGATGGAGGAATTTCTGGGCAAAAAGCACAACCCGCTCTAACACAGGAGGCTAGGCTGGGTGTTTCTAATGATTTCTTCCTGCTTTCAAAGCTTCTGATTAAATCTGCGTCATTTCCCACAAGTTGGGAGCCGAGCCCAGAGGGTGAAATTCCATACGATTCAGCGATTAATTCCACCTTCATTCCTGCATGCCGCCTGATTGTGAGATCTTAATTGGTGCAGAAAGGGGAATCTCTCCTTTCCCAATACCTTCAAGACAGTAGCCCCAGCTTCCCATCAAACCTGCTCCTACAACACAACAGTGCTATAACTGCTCTTCTTAACTCGAGTGGAGTTGCTACCGTCTCTGCTGATGATATATGAGGGTGTCACGACTTGTTATGTCATGTCAGACGATATGGTGGGATAATAAGAGCTGATGGGATGCAGCAGCAGTCATTTTGAAATTGAAGGAAAAGGTTCTCTGTGCACCAAAGAACACATCTGTTTTGTGGCATAATTGAAATTAACTTGGGGGAATTCGCTACATCTCGGGTGTCTTCCACGGTGACATGCAGTGTAGAAATGCAGTCTTGGAAAGCTTTTATGAAAGCTCAGCAGCCAGAGCAGTTTTAAATTGCCTTTTTTTTTTCTCTTTTGATTAAAAAAAAAAAAAAAAGAAATTCTGATGGCAATTTCCTACTCTTGACTGATTCTACCTAATTTGCGCTTGCACTAATTGCAGTTTTATAAACAGGAATTCCAGGGCTATGTATCTCTCTACCAAGGGGGGAGATGTTTAGCTTTTCACCTTTTTCCTGGATGAAATATGAATTGCCTGCATTAAACTTCTCTGTGTAGAGCGATGCTGGGAGACCAGAGAGCAGCCGTGCCTGCTGCTTCCTGGCTCACATGGGAGCACTCCAGTCCCCTTTGCAGGGACTCCCAGGAAAATCCCATCTATTAACTCCAGGTGCTCGGCTTGCACCCAGGGGAATGCGATTCAGGGGTTGATGTGTGCGAATGGAACTCGGGACCCTCTGGAGGGAAGCAAGCATGCTGTGGTGCAAACTGAACCTCACCAACCAGGAGCCATGCAAGAGGCATCACCGGGGGAATTAAAACTTTAATCCCTAAGGATGCAGCAGAGAGATTATTTCCAGGGCAAGGAAGCATGAGATGGCTGCCGCTCAGGCTGCAGTGGTATCTTCAAGCCTGGTCCAGATGACAGCCTGTGCTTGCAAAGCTCAGCATCTTCCTCTCAAAGACAGAGATGGGTGGAATAAGGGTCCAGTGGGAGTCCAAAGGAGAGGGTTTCACCTTCCAAACATATGTCCTGGTGCTAGCTGAACACACGGTTCCCCTAGCTGTCAACAGGCACCTTGTTGTTGGGAGCCAAAATTGTTCTGATACAACCTCTATGTCAAATGTTGATAAAGAGCTCTCTAAGTACCTTTTTTTTTCCCTTTTAATCTTAATTGAAGTATATCTCTTCCCTTAAAGCTGGAGTAGAAGTTTTGAGCCTCTCTGAGCTTTGTAGAGATTGCAAAATCTGACCAATACTCCCCACAGGAACATCTGGCAGAGGAATCCTTGTGGCTTGATTGGGGGCAGTCTGCTCAGAGTGGGTCTCCCCCACGGGCTGTTCACTACAGGTAGCTGCAGAAAATGACCCTGCATCTCATCTTGTGGATCTCAAATTGGGCCATAACTCTGGGGAGATGGATTCTCTGCCATGGGCCAGCTGGATGAGCAGGAACGGTCACGTCAGCTCCTGTGCCTTAGTTTCCCCAGTTGCTAAAATGGCAGCAATGATGTTCTTGCTTATATGGCACTTCAAGGCTCCCAAGGAAAGGCTGGGAGTTATAGTCATACTCAGCCTCTGAGCTTTCAAGGTGCCTTGCAATTCAATTAAGCACTGAATCTCGCTAACAGCAGTACATAAGGTGTGACTTCTTGTTCCAATTAATCTCAGATTGTGGTACTACTCCGGACACTGCGTGGGCATTACTTACTGGAAACATACCCCAGTCTTAACTCAAAACATATGTGGCTGATAGAGCTGACCCAAGGGAAGGGAATTTGCCTGCAGTTTTGCCTGGCCTGCATGCTAGCTGCATGGGGCTGGGGTTGGAGGGCGAGCTGGGGCATCTTTGGGTGCTCACTTTGGGGCTGTACCTTCAAGGGGAGTGATGGGGCTGAGCAAGGTGGGACTTTGTCCTAATGATGGGGTGGAGCTGGCTCGGGAGAGGATATAGGGCAGGAGCTGAGCCAGCAGCAAGTCTGGTAATGGGGATAGCAAGGGAGGAGGAGGATTTTATAGCTGTTTGCAGTACTATGGGGCTACTGAGGACACCTGCTGAGCTTGCTTCTTGCTCGTCCTGTCTCAGCTATGCCATGCCTGAGTTTTTCCTGCTTAGCTTAATAAGCATAGAGTAGGGAAAGACAGCAGTAATCTTTGTTAGAGGGGAAGCTATGTTAATTAGCTATGGAAAGCAAACATCCACAGCTTAGGAGGTAGGCAGAAAATCCTGACGCAGTGGGGGTCACCCTATTTATTGCCCAGCCCATGGTGTGTCTGATTACCTGCATGTAGGAAGGCTCTGTGTACGCATGCAAGGTAAGCCTGAGTTTGGAGTAGAGAGCAGGGATGTTGCTCTGTTAGGAACTGGGGATCTTTTAGAAATGAGAGGAACCTGTACAGTCCTAAAACCCACAAGAAAAGATGCTTTTCTGGATTGGGTCCTGGTGCTATCCAAGACCTAGATCAGGAGGTGTTGGTCCAAGAGATGCTCAGTAGTTGCAAATACAATGGGCCCCAGGTGTTGGGAGCAGGTGCTTTAAGATCTTTAGCATCCCAGAGGAGAGTGATGAGAACAAGACAGAGTGCCTTTTGCCAAAAAATAAAGCTTTGGTGCTCCTGGGTCTTGAGTACTGAGGGTGCTTCTTGCCTCTGCATCTGTGGGGGAGCATGGTGGAGGTACAGGTAAAATGGTGGAAGACAGGCAGTTAGAGACTGGAAATGTTGGATTTGCTCAGTCTGGAGAAAGGAAGAGGGGGATTTACAAAATCACAAAGTTATCAGAAAAGGCAGATGTGGGCCTGTCCTTTACCAGCCTGTGTGTGGTAAGTGGGTGCACCTGGTGAAGCCAGAGGGAGCCAGGACTGAGACACAACCTGCTCCATCTGCTCTGAGAACATTTTTCTTCTGCCTTTTCTACTTTATTTTGGAAGTTATTTCATCTTTTCTAAATCATTTTTATTTTCTCTCTCTCCTGTTCCACCCACCCCAAATGTCACAGCTGATGCTTTGAATACAGCTTAGCAATTTTTGTTCATGGGAAGAAGCACTACAAGAGAGCGTCTTGTCTACCTTGCCCTGGGAAGACTTATTTTATGCTTATCTATCACACATGCAGGTGCCAGAACCTGGAACAGGAGTAGCTGTTGGATTTCTCGTTCCCTCCTTGGTCCAGGAGCCTGTGCAAGACTGTTTCCATCACGATCATCAGATACCAGCGCTCTCTAATGTGTGAGTAGGTGCCTGGGGATGTTTTGAGAGGGGCATTTTAGGGTTTCCTGTGTTCTGAGGGTCAACCTGAAAAATGCAAAGAGCCTTCCACCTTCTGCTTTTGGCTCACTGCTTTCTTCCTCCCACAGGTAGAGTTTTGGACTGGAATTTGGATCTTGAGGCCAAATGCAGTAGTTCCAGACAGCCCCCTTTTTTTGTGAATGTATTTGCATGGGCTATCTTTTGTAACTGGCTTTATCAAGCTCTTGCTCTGCCCAACTCAGAATGTGATTCTTTGGCAGGTTGTATTTTGCTCTCTTTCTTTTCTTTGTTAATCCTTGCATTTACTGGCTGGTGGTTTTGGTAGCAGCTGGCTGTTTCTTGCCATCCTGGCTCCCAGGGTTTGGGTTTGGGAAGGCAGTTGGAGGCAATTGAACAAAAAAAAGTGGAGGCTTCCCTTTTTTATCATCCATGCTCTGGTGCTGCACTCCCTCTGTTTATCTAGTTCTGGTTTCAGTGCTTGTTGGACCCTGATTTAACTCACTAACCTGGCAAAAAAGGGATCCAACAACACCACTGAATGATTTTTCTGCTGAGTTTGTGAGTTAAAACAGTTCTGAGTGCCTGGATGAGAAAACCATCTCAGGAGCCTGCTGCTGTTTATGTTGCTGGCAAAAGTCCTGCTGGGTTCAAAATGGAGCGGACCCAGGGCAGGACCTGCAGCGTGTGTCCTTCGGCTGCTCCAAATTTACAGCAAGTGTCACTGAGCCAGTGATGCTGGGGCCGAGTCCTTGTCCATTTGCTGTGTAGGAGTTTTGGTGGGGAAAATCCTTCTGGGTTTGTGGTGGTCCCTGGTCCTCTCCCTTGCTCTGCTCCCTCCCTCCCATGGCACCCACTCTTCTGTTCCTAGTCTTTGGGGATTAGGGGGTGAGAGGTCCATCTGCCCCGAAGGCATGTTTAGCCTTGGGGTGCTTGCGATATGCAGTCAAGAGTTTTGTGTCAACATCATCCCATGCGGTGCTTGGCTTCATACAAAAGCCAGGTTCTTCCCCCACATCCCCTGCTTTAACTTGAAGAGGAACATCTCCAGCTCCACCTTGAGCTGGTCTGGAAAGAGATTTTATTTATTTATTTATTTTAACTACTACATATTTAGGTGGTGCCCTTTGTTTCATCCTATGGGAAAATATCCCCAAATCTTGCATGTAGTTCTCAAAATGTGGGCATGTCTCCACTGGCTGGGTGCCTCAATGTTCTGCAGCTCCTGACCCCCCGCCCCCCCACCCCAAGAGCTTTTCTTGAGTGTGAGGGAGCTAATTGCGTTGTTCCGGCTCTTTTTCCATCTCTGCTGTTGCTGCAGCGTGGTCAGAGGGTTTGAACAAGGGGGTTATGTTCATTAAATGGGGAAAGGTTGCCTCACTGGGCTTGCGGTGTCCTTTGGGCAGCTGAACCCAGAGGAAAGGGGTCTTCGTGTGACACAGAGACAGGACAGGATGGGTGCAGCTCCTGTCCGCAGGGAAAGGATTTTGTGTGTGGGTGTGTAAACTGGTGGTGGGTGGAGCCGAGTAGAAAAAAGGACCCTGTTGCCCATGTGGACGAATGCATCAAGAGAGTCCCATCCTCCCGATAAAGAAAGAGGAGGAAAATCAGCAATGAACAAATAGGTTTTGTGTTCCTGAGGGCCTTTCCTGGTTGGAGTATTTCAGCTTCACCTTCCTCCTGATGGCTGCAGAAAGTGAGTTCAACAGTCTCCCAGGGCTCGTCTATTCAAGTTTTCCAAGAGAAAAACAGCTTTTCCAGGACTACTTTCCCCCTTAAACAAAAGGGATGTTGTCCAAGGAAGGATTTTGATTTTATGCTTTTTAAGTCGGAAATCTTCTCCTGCAGAAGCTTTCTAGCTGGCTTTCACAGCAGGTTTGCTCTTGCCACCTCTCTGGGGGTACTTGGCAGTGCCCCCGAGCACGGCTCACCGCAGCGACCTACACCCCTGATCCTTCACATTAGTCTGGCTAGCTTATGAGAGCAAACATACTGCAAAATAGCCCTCAGACTGCAGTGTCCACCCTGTCCCTGGTGCATATGTTTGATGCCAAGGGCTTATAGCACATGCTGAAGTATTGTGGGATAATTTATCTGTCCTTTCTGGGGTCTTGTAAAGAGCTGTTCAAAGACAGTGGAGAACAACCAGCCTTATAGACAAAATGGTTGTGAGAGCAGCTACTATGTTTGCTCAGCTCATCTTCTGGTCTGTGCTCTTAATAGACCACCCAATGTGGCCTCATTGCGATGGCTCTCTTGGGCTAAAAGGAAGATGGGTCTTGGGCTAGGATCAAGAGTCAGCTGCAAAGAAGGAGTATTATGAGTAGAGATAGTGGGGTTTTTTGGTTGGTTGTTTTTTTGGTGTGGTGGTTGTTTTTTTGTTTGTTTGTTTGTTTTTTAATCTCCACATCTTTGTCCCATCATATGCCTCCAGACTGCCTGTGTTGTGGTTTAACCCCAGCCAGCAACTAAGCACCACGCAACCGCTCACTCACTCCCCCCCCATCCAGTGGGATGGGTGAGAAAATCAGGAAAAGAAGTAAAACTCCTGGGTTGAGATAAGAACGGTTTAATAGAACAGAAAAGAAGAAACTAATAATGATAACGATAACACTAATAAAATGACAACAGTAGTAATAAAAGGATTGGAATGCACAAATGATGCACAAGGCAGTTGCTCACCACCCGCTGACTGACACCCAGCCAGTCCCCGAGTGGCGCATCCCTGCCCCCCACTTCTCAGTTCCTAAACTAGATGGGACGTCACATGGTATGGAATACACTGTTGGCCAGTTTGGGTCAGGTGCCCTGGCTGGGCATGAGAAGCTGAAAAATCCTTGACTATGGTCTAAACACTACTGAGCAACAACCGAAAACATCAGTGTTATCAACATTCTTCGCACACTGAACTCAAAACATAGCACTGTACCAGCTACTAGGAAGACAATTAACTCTATCCCAGCTGAAACCAGGACAGCCTGGAACAAGGAGAAAGCTCAAACTCCCCTCAAAGGGATAATGGAAGGAAGAAGGAGGCCTCATTTTAATTTATTCCTAGGAAAATGGCATGCATTTCTCATTCTGCAGAAGCCCAGTATAAGTTAAGTTGCCGGATATTTATGATGGGAATTTGCTAAGCATGTACAATTCATGGTTCAGATTGCTGCTCAGCCCCAGCAGGGATTTCTGAGGAGCCATGCTGGAGGCTTGACATGAAGGAAGGGTGTGCTTCCATGTGGCTTGGCACCACCTCCCCAAAGGAATATCCCAGAGCAAGGGAAGATGTTTGATAGCCGTGAGGATCTAATCTCCTGAAGGAGTGGCTGGGCTCAAAGTCAAGCTGTGATAGCTCTCCCCTTCTTAGGGTGCAATGCATGCCTGCCTCTGCTAATGTAATCCCTGCTTCTGGTGGTGGCCTTCTCCCTCTGGCTGATGGCCATCCATTTATCCTGTCATGCAGCACCAGAAGGCACCAGATGTTGAGATATTCAGACTGTTGCTGTCCCTAGGTGAATCACCTGTACCTATGCATGTACCCAGTGAGGGATGTGTTGGCAGTACTGTTTGCAGGGGGAAAGGCTTAGCTGGGGTTGGTGGTGCTACTGCCTACAACCCTCCATGCTGAACTGCTTCAGCCCTGCATCCCCCAGCTATGAGCAGTCTGGAGCGGTCAGTTCACAAGGAGCCACCCAAACTCTTCCAGCATTAAGGTCCTGTAAGCATCAAAAGGCTCTGCTGGGTGCAGATGGGTGAGGAATGATAACCCCATCAGCTGCTTGGTCACTGCTGAGCTTTCCTGTGCCAAGCTGTGGCTATCTATAACCTGGTGCTCCCAGACAGGTTGGTGCTGCCTCTTGGCTGCTTTTCAAATGTGGCCTTGCAAATAATGAATGAAAGGGTCAAGTGGTGACTGCTCCAACGTGGCACTTGACTTTGGGGCTTCTCTGGGCATGAGCCAGAGCTTAAGGCGAGTCCCTGGGCCATGGAGGTCTTCTCTGTCTTCTTCTCCCAAGAGCCCTTTCAGAAACCAATTTGGTCCAGTTCCACCATTAAAGAAGTTGGGTTTTTTTCTGCCTGCTCCCGGAGGAATGCTGTCCCAGCATGCAGTTGCACTACCATTGGGAGCTGCACCTTTCAGGCTTTCCCTGTTCCTGGCAACACATGGACCCATGTCTTGTGCTAACAGGGCTCCTTCACTGTAATACAGCTTTTCCCTTCTTCCCCCCTCTGGGATTTTATTTGTGTGTGTATATATGTACATATACTTATCTACCCTTTTTCTGCCCTGCTCTGCTTTTTAAAATATGTTGAGCTTTATTAAGCTTGATGATCCCAGATTCCCTCTGTAAGAGGGAAAAAAACCCCAGATTTAAGGAGTGAGGCATCTCCACTCGTATCCAGGTACGGTCATGAAACGGTGAGGATGGAAGAAGAGAGATCCAGTGTTGGTGATTAAGCTTACTTCTGGCCAGTTTTGGCTGTGAGAGATATCCCCAACCCTTTAAATCAATGTGGCAAAGGAGCAGCCCCAGCAGGCAGAAGCTGCAGGGGATGAGCACACTTAGCGCTCTTCATCCATCCAAAATTGAGTGAATACCCTACCAAAGTGTGACTTTGCAGTGTCTGTTTTGTGCTCATGACCCCTTTGGCTTGGCCAGAAGGCGATGGGTGACAGATGTTAGAGATCTTGTCTTGGAAGGAGGAAGGGGGAAACTGTACTCTAAATAAAATCCTTCCTCATGTCCTGTGGTTTCCTAAAACTGCTCATTTGTGAACTACAGATATTTATCTATCCCCTCCTGTATATGTGTGTGTATATCTATAAATATGAGTGTGTGTAAACATATGTTATGTGTATATATAGAATGCTTTATTCTGTTACCAGTATGTTCATGTTATTTCAACAATAACAGCAGTACTGGGGCCAGAAAATGCATCATTATCAGAGCTCGGCCTTATAAGTATCATAAATTTTCTGATGT